AGTGTCGACAGACGAGCCTTCTGTGCTTCATCCAACTGTGCTTCATTCAACTGAGTCGCGCAGGCGACCAAAGGATTTAGTGCCTCGTCGTGTCGTGTCGGTCGATCCAAACAGGGGTTTCGAGCCGACGAGCGCGGAACGCCAGGGTACGACCCCAGAGTTGGTGCACGACACGGTTCGTGCCGCGCCTCTCGTTCCCGAAGGGGACTGTGAGAGGGGAAATGCGTTGAGCGGGGGCTTGGCCCCGAACTCTGCGCAGGGCACGTTTCCGACGCTTCTTCCGCAAAGGCGACGGTAAGCGCCGGCGGGCTGATGAACGGCTTGAGTTGGCAAAATGGGCCATCACGATAGCCGCCATTCGCAATGTCCACAACGATACCGGTTTTAAGGAGAAAGTCCCGACCGAGAATCACTGAAACATTGAGCTCTGAAAGATGAACAAGACGGCAGCGTCTCATTTGATCTCCCCATAGTGGTGTACACATATCCCGAAGGAATACGGCCACCAGCGTGGGTCCGGTCTTAGCGAGCCGCAGGGCACGCATTAACCGTCGCCGTGGCAAGACCACGATACTGCTCAAAGTCGCAACACTTCATTGTGGCAACACCAAACGCAGTACAGCCCGTTGCAAAAGACGCGGCGGGAAAGCAAATAGGCTTATCCACGCCACGGGCACAAAAGTACTACACAGGGTGCCACGAGCACGTCTCCGCGGTAAAGGTGATCCACGGAGACACCGGGACCAAGGCCCGGTTGCTCGAGCGAGGGCAAAGGCGCTCGCGTTGGCTTCGGAGGGAGACGGGTCGGCGTAGCCAGGCCACGCACTTGGACGCCGTACCACCCTTCGGCTGCGCGTACGCACTGGGGCAACAAAAGGTGAGCGTTCGCATCGGGCGCGAGGCGCCGTCAGCGAAGTCCGACGAGCCCCGAGCGACGGGAGTCGACGGACGGTAAAGATTGCGTGGCTCACCGTTTGCAGTCCCGGAGAGTACTGTCTGCTCCCGACGCAGCGCGCGAAAACCTCTCGGGAGGCTTTACGCGCGGCGCCACAGTCAACATCCGCTACCGGGTGAGGGAGTTAAACGTCACTCCGCTATCCCATCGTGGCAGACAGCAAAGGAGGGCAGACATGTCGGGACATGAGAACGGCAGAAAAGGTAGCAAAGCCCGCGCAAAGGCAGTGGGCTAGCCTCAATTCCCACATCCTTCAAGGCCCGAGGGCATTACAGGGGGGAGTGGTGAACGGAAAATTGTACAAACTTGGGTAGTAAATAACAGAACAAGAACGTAATACAATAGTGCAATAAAACAAACGACTAGAAATAGTAGTACATACAATGTAGCAAAGAAATGCTTTGCAATAATAAAAACAAACAAAGTAACATGACATTAATTCCTGTTTATACAATTTTACAACAATAATAAGGTGCCATGAATTCCAAGTTGAACAATGTTAGCTATAGCCTTTTGAAAAAGTTTATCATCAATGATGGTGACTATGTCATTGGAAAGGTGGTTCCATTGTCGAAATGTTCTAGGGAAAAATGAATGACTAAAGATGTTGGTGTTTCCTGCTTGAATTCCGACTTTGAAGCGATGGTCTACATGGTGCGATAAGTAATGTGGCGGTGAAATGAAGTTATTATGAAGAAATGGGTGATGGTATATTTTATGAGATAGAGTTAAGCGAGCTATATTTCTCCGTGATGCTAGTGATGGAAGACATAGGTTAGCTTTCATTGAAGATATGCTGGAGGTGCAGTTATAATTGAAATAAATGAAAGAAACATAATTGTTTTGAAGGAGTTCTAGAGAGAAGATGAGGTTTTCGTTGTGAGGGTCCCACACTGCTGCGGCATATTCTAGTTTGGGGCGCACTAATGACTGATAAAGTAGTAATTTCAAAGATGACGGGGCGTTAGAAAATTTGTGACCTAAGTAGCCAAGCATGCTATTAGCTCTACTGGTTATGTATTCAATATGAAGAGACCAGGTTAGGTTTGAAGTTATATGAACGCCTAAGTATTTATATGAATTTTCAGGAGTGCTCAGATTTGGGTGCACGTTAAAGAACCCCAGGTGGTCAAAATTTCCGGAGCCCTCCACCACGGCGTCTCTCATAATCATATGGTGGTTTTGGGACGTTAAACCCCACATCTCTCTCTCTCTGAATTCGCAGGATCTAAGGGGATATTATTCATATGGTAAAATGGAAGGGTGGTAGAATGGCACAATGCCCACACACTTGATTCAAAGTGGTAGCTTAGTAGGTAAGCTGTCATGCCGCTAAGCTCAAGGACACAGACTGAATTATTGGCCATGGCGGCAAGAACACTTGTGTACTTAGATGCACTTTGAAAAGCCCAAGACAGTCAAGGCCTCATAATCATGTTGTGGCTTTGGCACATAAAATTCGAAAAATTATTATTATGTACACACGTGTGTATTTTGTGAAGGACAGCACTTCATTGTATCTTGAATGCAGAGAAGCTGCTCTCAGTGAAGTCAATGAAGAACTGAAAGTAGAATCATCCATAGAAGATTTCCTGGCATGATTAGTCAAAGCAGACAAATTAATACCAGTGTTGATTCAATTGGTCAGTTGAGATTTAACGGAGCATTAAGTAAAGAAAATAAATACTAAGCCCCAGCATTCGATTGTCTGAACATATTCATCCACAAAATTTCTACATAGCTTACCATTGGTGTTATACTATAGTCTGTCAAAGTAAAATGCCCAAAGCTGCAACACCTTCTATAACGGGTCTCATAATGTCTCAAACACCACTCTCCATGATACCCGACTTCATAGGAGGAAAAAAGAGAGAGAGAAAAATAAAATTAAAAAAACCTAGAAAATATGCTTTTTTTTGCATCTAGTATGGCTCGTGAAGAGATGCACAAAGCTACTATAACAGGGTGGTATCTTGCTACACGGCTGCTTTTAATGCACGTCCATCAAATAGCGTGAGGCCCTGTACAATGAACGAATGCAGACATGTATCAACTATAAAACACTTAGAAGCCCTGGACTATTAGCCCATGAACGCGCGTCTATTCCATATTTTTTTCATGTGGTTCTGTTGTTTCGCGTGCTTTTGCTGTTTGTCAGAAAAAACAACCAAGCAGATTTCAGCAAAAAATAAATGCTTGATTCTGGGGTTATTTGAAACAAGGTACAACATAAAGCCATTATTTTAACAATTCGAGCAAGAATAAAAAAGTTGGCTAATTAAAACAAATAATTAACTATCATTTAGTCATGAAAAAAAAAGGTTGTATGTAGCATGACTACCACTAATATACAACACATAGGACTTTCCTAGAGCACACATTTTTTTCCTTTAACTCTTGGTTCTAGTTGGCTGGGACACCCTGTATATGTTGTTATGGGGAGTATTTATTTAGGCGTTGTCAGTCAGTATCCCATCGAGATGACACTGCACAGAGTGCACAAAATTGAAAGTCAACAGGGTAGCCCAGACTCAGCCCCGCAACAATCTTGTCTTCTTTGTCCATTCAGCACCCTTTCAGTGGTGGTGCCGGAGTGGCATTTCCATACTCGTAACATTACCCCAGCTTGTAAAGCACCATCTTGGCGCCTGCTATGCTTCAATGGGCATGTCACCATTGTAGGCCTTTAGGTGAGAAAGATGCAAGATTTAAATTCTGGACGTAGCAGTCGATGAGCTGGTTGTCGGGGAAATCTCATTAATGTGAGGCGTCACCTGGTGCACAACTTGGTAGGGCCTAACATATAGTTATACAAGCCTCTCGCTGAGGCCAACATTACAAGATGGAAGCCACAGAATGAGAGAGCCCAAAGAAAATTCAGCATCCATGTGTTGACTATCATGCAGCGACTTTTGTGCAGTCTGGGATAGTGAGAGCCTAGTGCGGGCTACCACCGCGCGTGCGATGACAGAACGGGTGATGGCATCTTGAGCGTATGATGTGGTGGATGTTGGGTCGAATGAAAACATGGTATTGAACGGTAACAACGGATCGCGGCTGAGCCGAGAAAAGATAAAAGGATGAATAACCAGCAGTTTCGTGGTGGATGAGTTATAGGTGAATGTGATGAAGGTGAGGGCAATATCCCAATTGGTGTGATCATTGGAAACTTACATGGAATGCATGTTCGTCAGTGTGCGGTTGAGGCGTTTGGTGAGCCCGTTCGTCTGAGGATGAAAGAAGTGCAGAAGTTGTCACGAGTAGCACATGATCACAGTAGATCAACCACCCACGAGAGAAATCAGTGACCATGGTCTGTGAGTAGGTGACAAGGGATGCCATGTGGGAGAATGATGTCATATAGGAGGAAATCAGCAATATCAGTCCCACAGCTGGTCGGTAGCACTGGAATGATTGCACACCGAGTGGCATAATCCGTGGCTACTGCAACCCGTTTGTTTCCATTTGTTGAAGTTGAAGATGGACCAAGCAAGTCCAATCCCAATCAATAAAACGGCTCGGCTGGGACTTCGATAGACTGAAGGCTACTGGCAGAATATAGGTATACAGACACAACCGTATGAATCCAATCTGCTGGATTCATTTGGTTGCGTCTAATAAACAAATGAGCCTTTTAAAGAAGATTGCAATATACAAGGTGTTTTAAATCATTTGATTGCTAATGAAAATTTTATGATTGTGGCGCTACAGTCATTTTAACACACATACTCTATGTCAAGGTGGAAATAATTTGCTGAAACTAAAATGACAATGAGACTAATTAACAAGAACTCTTTGATTTGCTCTTTAATTTTGATTTAAGGGCAGTTGTTTATATTTGAAAGTTGTAGCACTCGCCAACTTATGGCATACCCATTTTTTAGAACTTGCAAATGTTTCATATAATAATTCAAGTTTTTCATCATCAACTTCTAAGGGCAAAATTAAAAGTGATCGTGCCAGCCACACAAAAAAAATGGCCTCTCTGTTATGTAATAGCAGAACTATACATGACAAGCAGGCAATGAAACTTGAAAAGTCTAACCTAGGTTCGACTGGCAGAGGGACCTCCAGGAGTCCCTGTCCCGTACCAACACGCAACAACTTGGCAACTTCACCAGAGTGCGGACCGGCAGCCACAACCAAAATGGCAAAGGTAATTCTGCGTATCACTCCATCTGGTGTTCTTACCTGGGCAAGACAAAGTAAGGGGCATTATGTCTAAAGCTTACTTCAACTACAGTGCTAAAAAATCAATAAATTCAAAAACACACCTAAAATAACAGCTATTTTTGCTTAGCAATAATTATGGCAACACTTGTATGGCAACCTTAATTTCTACATACATGAAACAATCGTAAAAAAATAATGAGAAAAAAAACTGGAGGCAAATTTAAATGATTTACAAAACCAAAATTGAGATAGCAAGTAAGGCATTTACATACGTGCAAATCTGTGAACTTCTCAAGAATCCGTTAGACACAGTAATAGCGTGGTCTTGGCATTGAACAAACACCTATACTACTGATAATTTACTTTTACATGTTGCATATAAACAGCAGCAAGCCTGGAACAGTAATGACTGACAAGCAACACAGCATTTTCAGATCACATAATTCAGCTGGTTTCGCAACTTGTATGAATGGACTTAACGCTCTAATTAAGTTTTGGTCTGGTATATGAATCCTTGCACTAGAAGAAAAAATCAAAGCAGCTTCAATTACGAATACTACTTTTTTGTTTTTTGCATGCATTGCATTAGAGATTGCACCCTGCATCTCACAGCACCTTTTAAGCTTTTCCTTGAACAGAATTAATTTTTAATAAAACTAAATGTTTGTGAATGAACAAAAAAGGGGTGCGGATGGTGATTGACAATTAATTTCCTTTGTTAGACTTGACCAAGTGAGACCAACAGATAATAAAGCTAATGAATGTATAGGGGACATTCCTAGCATGTTACAACTGTAATACAGTAATTACATAAAAAGTGGGAGAAAAATGAACTTGCCGCTGATAGTGACTGAACCTAAAAGCTTCGGATAACACGTCCGATAGTCTACTAATTGAGTCGCAGCAGTGGTTGCTTTCATATCCACTTTATTGAGTATCCATGTTTCGGTAATCCTAGGTGTTTTAGCCAGTGCCACTCGCAACAATGATGGCAAGTGTAGAACAGTCTTATTATTGCCAGCTGGTGTCGCATTACACACACAAAATAAACCCTCATATATTGCCTAAAGCGTCACGTCTGCCAGATCGAGACCCTCACCATGAAGAGATGAAAAAGACCGAGGGCTCATTTTTTTGTTCTGTCATTTGATAAGCCAATGATATTTGTTTTGTAGATGTGCAGGTTGTGCTTCTGATTATAGAATACACTGGTATTTGTAGGTCAATGAATGCAGAACACCAGTGAAATTGTCGTTGGAAACAGTGAGGTTGTTTTCACTTGTTTGTTATGTTCAATAGTGCTTCATTTTCATTTTTGCTGGCGCATCTGGTCAGATTTCATAGCTTCACAATAGGAATTTGAGGCTGGTTTTTGGAAATCTCAACGTGGCAACAGGTTCTTCAGAAGAAGGTGTTCAATTCTCTTATTTGACCCGACCATGGGTCCCCTTTGATATAGAAGTTAAGTATTTTAATTTAAATAATTAACGTGGTAACTAATGTCTTGGGCACCTTCATATGATTGCTGCCATAGAAAATATATTATCAAGGCAGTAAGCAAATATCCAATTTCCTTTACTTTTGAGAATTTTCGCACACATTTTTGCAGACATCAAAGGTGTTGAATAAGAATTTCTTGCAAGAGGGTTTCAAATATGTTGTTAAAAACAACCATATCAACAGCATATGAAGATAACTTTACTTTTTGCCCCAAGTGCTTTCTTGTACATTGTATATATAGGTTTCTCAGGTATGTGCAAGCGTTTCAGGAAGATTAATTTTTTTTCAAAGGCTCCATGATTTTTTCTCTACACAGACAGAAAACTGCCAATTCAATAAGGCTTAGCAAATTATATTTCATGAAGAGCATGAATATTGGCCCACCTCAAACATGAAAAAAAAAAAAAAGAATGACATCCAAATATGAGGAACAAGAACAGTCTATGTGTCCTGCAATAGATGTAGTTACGCACTCAGTGTAACTGAATGCCATTCTCTGTATCAATATAATGGTCATTCACAGTCACTCTTTGTAACATTTATGTACCTAAAAACAGACTGATGGACTAGCTGGTATTGCATTACAAAATGTGTAATGAGAATGGAGCATGGAAAGTTAGCCTGTCCTATCTGCTTTTTATTGTGCGCCCCATTTACAGACCACATTCAGTAATGTTTTTGGGGTTCGATAATCCTTAAAAAAAGTAAGAGAAATTGGGCAGCTTTCCTCATTAAACCACATATGATTGCAAGCACAATTCAAAACTCAACTCAGCCCTGATGCTGCGTGTCTATATTGGATTCCTATGCTCGAAACTAGATGCTAACATGCAGCCATTATGGTCAAATTTCAACTAAGTGGCTGTAGTTACAGCCCACAGTTTGCAAATGAGAAGAACTGAGCTTCAATCTCACTGCGGATGACTTTTCTTGAAGTCTAAGTAATATGATCACATAAATAGGTGTCGTCAATTGCATTATAAATTAATTGTAGTTATTTGAAAAACTTCTTTCAATAAGTTTTCTAGACCACTAATGATGTAGCTTAAGCACAGCTGTTTTCGTTAAGTGTGCATCTAAATAATGTATAGGCTGCAACCATTGTTATATGTCTAGCTTATCGTTTAGAAACATAAGAGTATTTTAGATATTCCTTAGCTCTTTTTAAGTGTTTCACGGGCTGCAATCATATCAAACAAGACAGCCTGGTGAATATAAATAAATCAAAGGTATCAGAGCAATGTTTATTAACTCATACGTGTTTCTTAGTATGCTGTACTCTTTTAGCCACACATTTTTATGCTCTCCTGTGTGCTAAGTGTAAGAGCTTCTCAAGCTGTTCTTATTGTTTTCCTCCTGTCCTCCCTGCAACTTTTTCTCTTGTTGCAGAAAAAATAAAATTTCAATTTCAGATATCGGCATTAAAAGCAGTAAAATACTTACCACAGCATGGTTTACAGGTTCATACGATATTTCAGGTCCACGTTGTGCATCGATAGTTTGAAATTCAAAATCTACAAGCTCCGCATTAAGATACCGTGCCCCAAGAGAGACCGATTTTCGTCGCAAGGCAGTAAGAAGAGCATATGGATCAAACCAGCCTTCATTCTCTAGACCTGTTACAAGAAAACAGATACCGTAATATTATTAAGAGCATTTCACTGTGATGTGAATGATGGCACACGTACAACAACTATAGTAGTACTTATCTAGTAAACTATGATGGCATAAAAACTGATTATCATTTTCACATGAATGTATTCGCTTCTTATAGTCTTGATAAAAAGAGAGTCAACTAACTAAAAGTTACCTTACTTTTTAGGTCATATCTATTCCAACTTTCATCATCAATGATTAAGGATGGTCTGAGACACTTTAAATTTCATGAAAATATTCTTATCTTGGTAACAATATCAAGCAAGCATTCTTGTTTTTAATTCTCTGAGAAAGGGCACGAAAAAAAAACTGGAAACATTTATTATCTCACACCTAATTATGTAATCTCCACAATTAAAAGTCACTCACAAGAATTCCAAATTCCATCATTAGCTTCTGAAATATAGTGAATAGTATAACAATATTTCTGTTGGCTTTTTGGGGAACCTTGCCAACAATTCTATAAAACTGGCTGGTTGAAAATGAGTTAAAGCCAGGACACACTCTTTTACTGATTTCTCCACTTGGAACTGTCCAAACCATTCAAGACCAAGTATGGCTTAGTGCCTCCTACAAAAGTAAGTTTTAAAGGGCCACTCGACAGGCCCCATAACAAATTTTAGTTGAACCGTAGAAGTTGTTGTGTGCCCGATGAGGAGCATTATGCCACACAATTTTTTCAATCTTTTCATTAAGAGTTCCGAAAAAGTTTTTCTTTTTTTCAGCGGTGCAAAATGAGGATGAGAGAAAGCAAGCTCGGAAGCCTTGCCGCTCCCCCGCATAGCCTTCGCACGCCAAATCTCTTCCCTATTTTCTTCGGCATCTGACCAAAAGGTCACATGCGCATGACATGCCCTAACAAGCCCAACCCCCGAGCATGAGAGTAGCGTTGTTTTGCTGACCAGCATTATTTTGTGGTCTAGTGCGTGTTTCTGCAGGATGGTTTGAAAACGCTGGCTTAGACACGGTAGAATAGGCCTCGGTAGCCATGCAGCTCATGATACTCCAGTCATCCAATGCCCATGGACTTTGGGTTGATGGTGAGGTCATTGGCGTTTATGATATCATTTGTCAAGAGGAGAGGAAATGATTTCTAGCTGATTTTAAGCATTGTGAATTTCAGGCAGCGTGCTGCGCTATAATTTTTTGCTTACGCGTTTTCAGGAGCCTCAAGTACCAATCGGTGGCGTTTTCGGACCCTACTGAAAAAGTATTGAAGTGCCTCTTTAATGTTGTTTAACTCTATTAATGCTGTTCAGCCAACCTAACAATGTAAATCTTTTTTCTTTGTTCCTTTGTAACATCATGTTTTTCAGACAATGTATTAATATGTAGTTCCATTTTTTTCACTCCCCTCCTGCTCACTGCCTTTATAATAATAGCAGAATTCTGGTAAAACAAACATAATATGAGCAGTTTGTCTTGAAATAAAATAAGATACAGAAACATCACAAGTGAGCACCTTTCCAGAACTAAGAAAAGAATAGGTTTTTCTTTAGAGCAAGTAAAAGTCTAGACAAAAGAAGGCACACAAAGAAACACGCTGCAATTTTAAGGAATGAACAGTCACTGAAGTCTGTCTGACAATGCTTCACAAGGTCAATTTGCTTTAAATGGCAAAAGTTACTATGCTGCTCATATAATATTTCATGAAGTATGATACAAGTACAGTATGCTAGTATGCTATGTATACTGAAACACAAGCAGCTCGAGTGAAGATTTTTGAAAAAGTGATGTGACAGTCATTTCACAGCCATCCTAGATTTAGTTTTATATAATAAGAGAGACAGCTTGCGAAAACAAGAAGACAGACGATTGTCTAAATACTGATTACATACCATGTGATGCAAGGGCGATACCGTCAGTATTTATCCATGGAAATTGTTTACGGAGTTCATCAGGCTTCATCAGCTCAAGCTTGGCACCCAGTTCCCTTAATGGGGGAGATGGAGTGAAGAATAGGCTAAGAAATACAAAACGATGGCCCACAAAATGGTGCAGATTATGTCAAAAGGCAAAGCCAACCCATAAAAAAAGTATTTTAATGTACTCTTGTCAGTAATGACATATTTATCACCCTGTCCTGTACCATTTATTCAGTGTTGAGAGCAATGCAGCACAACTGAGGTATCCACGAAAAAAAAGAGCATTGAGCATCAGTATTCCTAATATTGCCACAGAGATTGCTCCTACTAATTATTTTACAAAGAGAACCAACGAGACGCTATGTGAGCGTCTACAGTGCCTCGCAACTAACGAGACGCTATGTGAGCGTCTACAGTGCCTCGTAACCAACGAGACGCTATGTGGGCGTCTGCAGTGCCTCGCAACCAACGAGACGCTATGTGGGCGTCTACTGTGTCTCGCGCCTGCTCACGCATCTTGGGCAGAGCAGCTCTGGCCTCGGGTGGAGGAGCACGAGCCGGGAAGGCTGACGGAGTTGTTCAGAAAGGGACACGTAGGCGGAACGCTTTTAGCGCACTTTTCTTTGTGACATAGCTACTTTTCTGGGCACAAGTTCGCCTTCAATAAATTATTGTGTGTGTTCCCCCTCTTGTATTACGTGACATTCTGGTGGAGGTGCGGGGTATGATTGGAAGTCCCCTTGGCGCAAGAGAAAGCACTTGGCTGCGGATAGAAAATGGAAGAGGGTGGCAGCGGTCATATCGTTTATAGTTGTATAAGTAGGATGCATGATGTTTGCGTGTTCCTTTATAAAATATGTGAAACTGCTATAGGATCGCTGCAGGTATAGTGACCACTGATTTAACTCTAGATACAGGCTCTGGATCAAACTTGTCCTGAAAGCACCAGTTGCAAGTCGGATACCCGGATGGTGAACGGGTCTAGGATTTTTAATGCACTTGGCGTTGCGGAACAATAAATTATAGAGGCATAATCAAGGCATGACCAGACAAGGCTTTTGTACAACTTAAAGAGGCACTTTTGATCACTACCCCATGTTGTACGTGATAGGAGCTTTAGGACGTTCATCGCTTTCAGACATTTAATTTTTCCATATTTAATATGGCGAATAAACGTGAGCTTAGAATCTAAAGTGGTTCCCAGGAATTTATGCTCGCTGCTCACAGAGAGCTCCCTTGATCGCAACACTTGGTAGTGGCATTACCCCTCGTTTGTTGGGGACAAGTACGCAAGTACTTTTCTGGGTGTTTATTTTAAAAACATTCTCATCCGCCCATTTAGAGAATTTATTTATTCCAAGCTGCACTTGTCATTCGCAGATAGACATATTGCATAATTTGAAACTCATCTGCACATCATAAACATACACGGAATAAAACATCGCACTTGGAATTACTGACTGCAGGGAGTTCATTTTTACAAGAAAGAGTGTGCAACTAAGCACACCCCCTAGCGGAACATTAGTCTCTTGGGTAAATGATCTAGAGAGAGCATTTCCCACTTTTATGCGAAAGGTTCGGTTAGACAGACAACTTTTAATTGTGTTTAACATGTTCCGATGGTGGCAAGATCGCGTAGAATCCCGAATCGCCATGTGGTATCGTACACTTTCTCTAAATCTAGAAATATTGAAAGTACAAACTGCCTATGAATAAATACATCTCTGATGTATGTCTCTATGCGAACAAGGTGGTCTATTGTCGACCTCCCCCCTCTCGAACCACACTGAATGGGGTCTAGTATACCGTTACTTTCTAGAAAGTGAATTAAGCACCGGTTTAATATTTTCTCATATGGTTTGCATAGACAGCTTGTTAACGCTGTTGGCCTGTAGCTGGTGGCCAAGGACGGGTCTTTGCCATGTTTAAGTACCGGGATGACTATAGCTTCTTTCCATGACAATGGAATATACCCAGCTGCCCACTTGGTATTGAAGAGGGTTAGGAGTGTTTTTAATGCTTCGGGGTGAAGGTACTTGATCATTTCGTGCATTATACGATCGCCACCTGGCACCGAGTTGTTGCAGCACGCAAGGGATGCCTTAAGTTCAGCTAATGTAAATTGGCAGTTGTCTCACTGAATGGACGTTTACATTTAAGGGGCTGCCGCTCTTCACGTTCTTTGAATCTTAAGAACGTTTCTGTATAGTGTGATGCACTTGAGACATATCCAAAGTGTTCGCATAGGCAGTCCACCTGCTCCCCCAGGCTCTCACCTCGGCTACTTACCAAGGGTAGCGGGTGTGACTACCGACCTATTAACTTGTTTACCCTATTCCAAACCTTCGTTTCATCGGTGTAAGAATTCATACCGGAGATGTACCTATTCCAACTTTCTTTCTTTGCAAGACGACGCATTTTTCTGGCTTGTGACTTAACCTGTTTGAAATTGACGAAGTTTTCAGCTGTTGGGTAATTTCTGAGTAATCTCCAAGCTTTATTTTGACTATTGCGCGCTTTCCGACAATCATCGTTCCACCCTGAGATGCGACGCTTAATAGTCATTCCGTTAGTTTGCTTAGTACCTTTCACTGCAGCGTCAATATTAAAACCTGTTAAGTATGCCACAGCATCGTCTATATTTATTTGGTAATACTGTCAACCCTCAAAGAGGGTCATAACAGAGAGGACATACATAAAGAATGTACAATGCTCATAAAGTTTGTTAATACTTTGACAACTCACAATGAAAATTGGTATTCTCTTAATTAACAACTGAACATTCAATCAGCAATGTCATCTTCATCTAAAAATGAGTTTTCTCGAAACACATCCCAGTTGGCTGACTTGGTGTTCCAATGAGGAAAGTCAGGCGAGCATGTATCTTCTTTTTTTAACTTCAACCTAATCGGGAAGTGGTCACTCCCAAAGGGGTTCTTGAGAACAGACCACTCCAGATATGAAATTAGTGTACTCGAGACAATACTCAGGTCTATAGAAGAGTATGTATTGTGTGTAGTGCTATAATATGTTGGTTCTTTTTTGTTAAATAAACATGCACCTGACAAAAAACAGAAAGTGTTCTATTAGGCGTCTTCGCGCATACAAACTATGTCACCCCAGAGTGGATTATGTGCGTTTAGATTACCAACGACTATATATGGCGGAGGAAGTTCATCAATGAAGCTTTGAAATCGTGTCTTCGAAAGTTGATAGCACGGAGAAATGTAAATAGAAGTAATCATTTTATCAGCTTCCCGAACAGCACTGCTCGGATAGCAACTGCCTCAAGAAAAGTTCGGAGGTTTAATTGCTTACAGACAACACCTTTATCAACTATTATAGTGACACCGCCCGACGAGGCGGCAGCGTCGTCACGGTCTTTGCGGAAGATGGCATATTGCTTTAGAAAGTTTGTGTGGACTTGAGATGTGTTTCCTGAACACACAGCACCTTTGGAGTATCTTTATTAAGAAGTTCTCCAATATTATCGAGGTTATGAATAAGTCCTCTCACATTCCACTGCAAGATCTGTGTGCCCATTTTAGATGTGTTTTGTGCTGTGTGCTCAAGGATGGAAAATTAGCTCATGGACCTTTTCCAGGGACCGTGACATGAGATTTTTTTTTTTGGATCGGTCGACGGAGTAACGCCGATCCTTAGGCCCTGGCTGCGCCCTCACGCTCGGTGGTGTGTCCATCGCCTCTTGCGAGGTGCTGAACACGCGCTCTGCGTTTGTTTTGAGGGCTTCGCCTCAAATGATGAGACCTTCGCGGCCCCCAGCCCGGAGGTTGGTGGGTCCTTCTTGGATGGCGGAGCAGCACTGGCTGCAATCGCCGAGGGGGCGGATGGCGTCATCACTGGCTCACTACGCGTGTGCCAGACAGCCGCTGTGGCGCTGCCCCCTGAGACACGCCACTTCGGCAAAGCTGGTTTCTGGTAGGTAGGACAACTGCCTTCGTGCATCCTTAAATGAAATGTTTTGTTTTACTTTAATTGTGACAATTTCCTTTTCTTTTTTTCCAGCATGGGCATGATCATGAGTATGCGGCATGCTCCCCATTACAGTTCGCACAATGAAGAGAGTTTTCACAAGCATCAGATGTGTGTTCTTCAGCACTGCATTTCGAGCAAGTTAGGCGGCCTCGGCAGTTCTGTGAACTGTGGCCGAACCGCTGGCATTTGAAACATCGGAAAGGGTTTGATATATATGGCCTCACTCAAAGCCTGATGTACCCAGCCTCGATGGAGTCGGGCAGTACACTTGAATTGAAAGTAAGTATCAGGTGCTTAGTCTGGGCTTCTTTGCCATCACGCCTCATCCTAATTCGTTTCAGGTTGATGACATTCTGTTCGCTAAAACCCTCCAGGAGTTCAGCCTCCGTCAGCCCTAACAGGTCATCATCTGAAACAATGCCACGGGTGGTGTTCATGGCTCGGTGTGGGGTTACTATTAATTCGGTATCTGCAAATTTCACTAGATTAGGCAGTCTCTCATATGGTTTCTGGTCACGGAGCTCCAACAGGAGGTCACCACTTGCCATTCTCGATGCTTTATATCCTGGGCCAAAGATTTCCGTCGAAGACTTCGAATCAAGAAAAGGTGAAAGTGTTCGCACTGGTTTGCCGGGTGTGTAAGTGTGGATAACGTGGAATTGGGGAAAAGATTTTATCTGGTGACCAAAAAACTGGAAGACTTCATCGGTGCGCACTCTTTTCTGAGGGTGATCAGGGAGTGGGGGGAAGAAACTAGCCATATGTAAATGTTTAATTTTTGGCAGCGGTGCCAGCCACCCACCATGAAGTCCTACAAGGGGACGCTGCAGGGTCTGTAAAGACAGGCCCTGCAGACACCAGCTGTACACAACCACTACAACCGAATATGGTGTATCCAAGGTAGGATAGCCACACAGGGTTAACCCTCGCCACCAGAAACACAGAAGTCAATGGAAGGGAGTAGAGCACAGGAAAGATTTAAAGTAAGAAAAAAGACGAAGATGTGAGGGGGAGACAGGAAAAGGCGACTGCCGATTCCCCCCGGGCGGGTCAATCCGGGGGTGCCGTCTACGTGAAGCCGGGGCCAAAGGGGTGTGTTGCCGCCGCTGAAGGGCCTTAAAGGTCCAATCACCCAGCCTTGGCTCAACCCCCAGGATCCCCTTTTCCCCGGACACGGCAAAGCCACGCACGGCTAGGCGTGGGAGGAGGTGCAAACGCCCCCCGTTAGCTTGGGTCCGTGGTGTCGCTACACACCAAACGCCTGCTTGCGCAGACGCCCCTGCGGGGAACACTGCACAGTGGCATAATGAGCCTGAACTAATTGTTCATGCCATGTCTTACACTGTCATTCTAACATACAAGCTGTATAGACCTAGAAAGAAGGTATGGCAGTGCTGCTGCTCCTGAACACACTCTGTGTTGCCAGCAGAGCACTGTTAGGATTGTTGTTTAAGCGTGCATCCGTGTTTTTCCGAATGGCAGCGTTCACTGTGGCATAAGCCATTCTCCTATAACAGCAACCTTAGTTTGACTTTTTCTGTATAAATGCGACAAGGGGAGCTATTCTCGCGGTGTCCAATTCTGTCTCCCCTGATTAGCCGGAGCGCGCCGCCTGTTTCCGGTCTTTCTTTCGCAATGTCATTTTGATGCTACGCAGCCTTCACAAGTCTCGATACAAATGAGAAAGACGGAATGCGTTTTGCCACAACAAATGCTGCTCCCAGGGATGCGCTTTTACGCGCACATCTCTGAAGACGTGCACGGACTGTAATCACGTTAGCCCTTGAATAGGTCTAACGCAGCCACCTGCCTCACGCCCCTGAAATGTCTGCATGCATTCCCTGCATTGTTTCTCAAACATCTCAACACGTTCATAGGCACGTTCCGACTTGTCAAGTTTAAGAGTCCTGTTACTCTACACTTCGTCCATTTAGTTTCTTTTTACGCTGGGAATCTGCTGGCTGGTTCGGTGTGCCGACATGGTCAAGGGCGCCATGACGTCACGACTCACCACTTTTTTTTCTGCATAACTGTACGCACTTCAGCGAATCGGACATGTCCACGAATTGGACCCCGTTAGACTAGCTCCCATGCTCAGATTTACTTGTGTTTTACTATTTCGTGATAGGCTGGGCTGTCAGCAACTCCTTTTGGCATTGAACTAACCTTCCGTCCCCTTTTTCGCCTCAATGCACGTGAGGAAGGCAGACCATTTCATCCTGCTCATTGCACAAAACGAATCTATGACCTTGTCCTCCCATAGTGAAAAAAAATAATACTGATTGCCTTTCCATTTTCCAGAAACCATGCAGGCATCAGTACCACACAATCATGCACACACACCTTTTCTGGCAGTGTGGATGTAAGCACCCATTAGCACGTCACGAGATGTAGTTTGCTAAAAAAGTGCATTACCAGCTCACGTGTAAGCATAATGGCAAGAAGCAACCATTGTGTCTTGTACTCTGGTTTCCAAAGGTTTGGAAGATGTTGATTTCTGCTTCAACGAGAGTTGTTTGTCACTTGGCATGAAACTGCACATGAGCAATTAGTTGTGCAGTCTGAAACAAGATTTGCTGAGTGCAACAGAACCTTCAGTCATAGAAATAAATCATCAAGGAAGGCATAGGAGGAATGAAAACCATGGACTACAACATACGAGTGGACGTGAGCTGTTTATTTTTCGATACTCTAAAGGCGCCAAAGCATCGAGCTCTTCTTGCTTCCAAGAAGTGGATACTGCAAATGCATACCTGATTGGATACCAACTACAACTGCTCAACATTTCGGCTAGCAAGAACTCGCGCGTGAACGTGAAAAATGCCGGCAGGCGTTGTGCCGCTCTGGGTGGCAGTTGTCAGCTTGCTCCTTTTCTATTTCTTTATGTCCCAGTATGTTTCTGAATGTAAACTAAATAAATAATAAAAATAGAAAAAGCACGAGATAGTAGGTTTATGAAGATAGTCTGAGGCATTATTTATATGCTGCATATGCACCTAATACTAACTGTTGCCTTTTATGTCCCAAAACCACAATTTCATTACGAGGGATATGGAAAGATCTGAAAATTTTGGCCATCTGGGGTTATAAAACATGAATGTAAGTTGAAGTACACAAGCCTCTATCATTCCGCCTCCATCAAAATGCACCTGCCACAGCTGGAATTCAAACCCGCAACTTTCGGGTCAACAGTTGCGTACCATAAACACAATACCACCATGGCAGGTTGTGCACATGTAGCTGTAGATGAAGGTCGTCTACTTGAAGAAACACTGCAGCACTATTTTTTACAATGACAAGACAAAGAAATACATAACAGGCTGGGCACAATCGTACATCTCTGGCTTGTCCTCATGAAATGTAGAGCTACAATACATAACTTGCACGTGATGGCACAGACAAGTTCTCTGCGGTAGGTACTTAAAATAGCTGCCACTATGACTTTCATCACATTTAAGAGTGCCAGTGCAAGAGACGATAGAGGGTCGTTCAACCCTTGCATTCTTTTGTGCTTTCCCTGTTTTCTTCTGTTTGCCAACTGCATCAAAGGGGAACACAAAGGATCGAAAGATGCACCAGCACGAATCAGATGTCACCGCTTCTTGCTCCGCACGGTCGAGCAAGAGTTCATGCAGCATCTCAACTAGCTGGTACCTGGAGATAGTGACCAGATTGACGTCGATGCAAGTTATGCATAGTTTAAGTAAGAATGTATCACCAACTAGCCCCGTAACGAGTCTCGTTAAGGTTGTCTTCTCTCATTCTTCTGCAGTTTTTATGATAAAATTTTACACGTAATTGTTTCCAAACAGTGTGCCTGCAGCTGCTGTAGCTGCCATGCACACAGTAGTACAGAACATTTTCGTTGCAGCGTTTTCGCACCCTTGCTGCACAATCATGACTGTGTGCGTGTGAGCAACAAACAACAATCATAACTTTCCCACCCCTTACATCAGGTAGTGCTAAATGCTTGGTTTGAAACAGCATTGCACTATACAACAGCAGCATATAGTGCGCGCCTTCCAGTTATCAGGATCAATAGGTGTGCGCACCCTGTTTAGCAACTCTGCGCATACATGCATGCCTATCCATGGTGATAAGTGCACGGTTCGCCCCGTACCATCACGAAGGTTTGCCGCAGATAGTACTACTTTTAAAGGCAACTCACAGGGCTCTGTGACATTCACACTCAACCTGCTTTGAAGCTTCTTTGAATGGACATCCTCAGTGGACAACAGCAAACCAATCATATCCTGCATTGATTGATATGTGGGGTTTAACGTCCCAAAACCAATATATGATTATGAGAGACGCCGTAGTGGAGGGCTCCGGAAATTTAGACCACCTGGGGTTCTTTAACGTGCACCCAAATCTGAGCACACGGGCCTACAACATTTCCGCCTCCATCGGCAATGCAGCCGCCACAGCCGGGATTCGAACCCGCGCCCTGCGGGTCAGCAGCCGAGTACCTTAGCCACTAGACCAAATCATATCCTGCATGTATGCAGATTTGTGAATTTGGTAATTCTACAGTCAATGTCACAGTACTTACTCTTGCATTTCCGCGTTTTTCAGCATTTGGTCCGCTCCTTTGTCAGAGGCAAGAAACAGGTAGCCGTGTGGCTGAAACTGTATATCAGGTGGGTCGAAATCTGCAGAAATGGAAAGCTTATAGTACGTTGGCGATCCCTCGCGTTTTCTTTTTTTTTTTTTTTTTGTTCGTTATACGTGCTTACCGCATAATACAAGAGAACTTACCCAAAACACTAAGGTTCTGCTTGACGTTTCTTAGAAACTCGGCGCTGAACATGGAGAGCTGGACGTTTTCTGGCAACGAAAACTGCTGCCTTATCCCTCCAATCGACAGCACCGTTGACGATCGAGCATACTGCAAAAAACAAGAACCAATAGGGACATTTTACGACCCTGTCAAGGCAATGCAGAGAAACGTACACAGAAAAGAGTATCTTCCCGGTGCATCATCTATTCTTACCACACATATACATGTTGTGCAACGTATCACAAACAGCTTACCGCATCGTGAATATCAGTGTATGCATGAACGACTGAGGGCCTTACCGTCAAATCACGTTCTAGCACGGCCAGGCTGAAACTCTCAGGCGCTCTCTGCTTGAGCCAGTAGGCGATAGAAGATCCCATGATGCCGCCGCCAACAACGAGAATATCCACTTCTTTGGGAAAAAGCGGCTCTTGTACTTCGGAGCTCTTCGGTTTCATGTAGCCTCTGAACTCATCCCGCAAAATTTTAAACGCTCTGCGGTCAGGGAGATCCTCCTCCACTACGAACTTGGACTTCTTACGACCACCACCACCATCGCTAGAACAAGCCCTCACAATATCTTTGCATTGACACAGACGAGTAAAAGCTGCGCTAGCCTTTCGAAGACACTTAAGCGGGATCATAGTACCCTATCGGGTGCAGCAAATTATTAGGAAATTCGGTGACGACAGAGAAGAAGCAACACGGCACCACCACCAGTCAAAACATTGCCCAGCTTACAAGCACGTGCCGTCTGCTACTGAAGTGGATGGATGAATTGATATGGCTCAGATCGGGCGGCGGCTAACGCCACCTAGCCGTATTACTTAACCATATTACTTGAAATGCTGTGTGTTACCAGAGCCTCGTAGATTTCTTGTGCCTGCCGGATTATCAACGGTCACTTGAGAAGCGGTCGTCGTCGAAAGTGCGGTAGTAGCGCCACTTAAGTAGGGTTGTCTTCAAATAAGTTTTTACGTTTTTGGAGCTTATATAACAAAAATAACGTAAAAAGTTTTTAAAAGGCCTAAACGTAATTATAATTAACCCTACGCAAGTGACGCCGCCATTGATGACAGGCATTTTGCGCTCATTCAGGGGGCAACCTCTTCAATACAAGGCATAGCTTGGATAGCATAGCCTCTAAAATTAGCAAACGTCAAAACTGCTGATCTTAAAGGCCAAGTACAAAGACTCTTACCCCTACGTAGGTAGCGCTGCCATAGAAGACGGGCGTGCCACGCTCACCCGGCAGGCAATATATATATATATATATATATATATATATATATATATATATATATATATATATATATATATATATATATATATAGATAGATAGATAGATAGATAGATAGATAGATAGATAGATAGATAGATAGATAGATAGATAGATAGATAGATAGATAGATAGATAGATAGATAGATAGATGTTCAAAGTGGTTGCAGTACGCAAATGATTTAGTTTTAAAGAGTATTGACAGCATAACCACCTAAGGGCTCGTTTTTCCGTGTTTTAACACAATATAATGAGATCTAACAGACAGTAATGCCAAGCAGCACGGCTGGTTATTTTTTCATCCACTTTTCTTTCTTCTTATTTACATATACTTTCCCTGTACATTCCTTGGCATTACTGTCTGTTAGATCTCATTAATATATATATATATATATATATATATATATATAGGAGGCTATGGTATTCATGGAAGAAGGGAAAAAAGTTTTTCCTTCCTCCAGTTCTTCCATGATGATATCGCAGGCAGGGTTATTTTTACGTAGGTGTTCTGTGGGGTTACCAGATGGTGTGAGCCTCAAACTGTCAAATTGAACATCAAGATAGCCCAAACATAGCCCAACGCTTCAACTTGAAGTAGCCCGAAAATAGCGCAAGTCAGTTGTTTTGCAACATTTTTTTTTGCTTATATAAACAACTTCCGGCAAAACTACATGCCTATAGGGAGAACAAATATCAACCAAAATTTTATTATCCTCATAAATGTTATATTAGTACAGCCCCGTAACACCCATAGGACTTGTGAAGGGGCCTAAAGAAACACAATATTGGAATTCACAGTGGAATTCACAATAAATTATCAAAGTAATCTTAAAGTTGGTTTCTCTTCTCTCGACAAATGACGAAAGACGCTAAAAAATAACTCGTTGAAGGCCATCTATCAGTAGTTCGCTTATTTGAAAATGGCGCGATCAGTCATAACAGATATCGCCGCGGGAGGCCGTGACTTGACCACACGTGCGTGTGCGATCACACTGCAAAAGTCGCTTATTAAAAAAAAAGAGAAAAAAAGTTTTCATGTCACAAGGCAAGCGTGACGTATTTTCTTTGCCCCAGCCATTCCTTCCTGCTTATCTTCCAGCGCTTTCGTCGGAACGAGGGAAGGGAGAATGCGTTTGCAGTGTGCGACAAATCTTTGTGATTCCGCTCGTACAGGACGGATACTTCAAATTATTGCAGCGTTGACTTCATAAGGAAATGAGCTGTTTCAGTGAGTTCCTTCCTTGGTTACTTAAAAAGGTGTTTCAGAGCTCCTTTAAGCAGGATTCACACGAGGGAAAAAAAAATACACGGATGATAAAGGCGGAGCCTAGTGACGTCCACAGGCGAGGACAAAATCCCCCAAATGTCTCTCACTGACACAGACGAGGCGAACGGTGGGGGAGATCATTGTGGCCAGAGCCTCCACCATTTAATGGAGCGGGAGCAATGAAGAATTCTTTCACCCCCAAGCCATAGATATCAGCAAGCTTTCGTCTTGGAGGGGGGGGGGGGGGGGGTCAAAGCCACGTTGTGTTTTGACTGGAGAAGGAGGAAAGCGCTCGTATTTCTTGGGTGAGAAAAGTGCTGGTGTGGTTTGAGGGAAGTGCCCGTTTTGCACCACCCCTGCCACTTTGCTGCTTTCAGAAACTTTCTCGTTTTATATGTGTTTTCTTTTTTGCAGAAACGAACTCACCTAAAGCGACATTCCGGACAGCGTCATTGACAACGGATTTAATTTTTTTTCGACTAAGAAATTGCTCGCAGCCTCTCTGACTCGTCAAAAACTACTATTGAGTAGGTAGATAGGAATTTCAGTATCTTTCTATGTCGTTTTGCCTTCTGTGAACGAAGAATTTATGCTATCATAAATATAGCATTTTTCTCATAAGAACAACCAAGAACGCAAGGGATCAAGCCTATTAATGTTTGACAATTATCTGCACGAACGTTTCATTAGAATTTCAAAACACAAGGTAATAGAAGACCACTTCTGTCTTCACTACGTGAACTTAGCCTAAGGTTCTGCAGTATCAGTGCAGCCGATAAAGTAAAATGTGAAGTATGTCATGTTTCTGAAAATAAAAAGCAGCTCTCGGATTCTATGGCTGCCTATATTTTAAGCGTCTAATCTTGAATAATGAGGCTCGTTTAAAAACTATTATAAATTAAGACATCTCCACCAGGCTGAACAATCAGAGGCGTAGAAGCAGCAGCAGTAACAACAACAAACACGGGCGATATCACGATTCTTATGAAAATAACCACTTTAAAACCAATTTAAATGTAACTCCATAGAAATGGTAGCACTCCATCATCTGCTTGACTATCGTCTCCCGCCCACAATTCTTTAGGTTAGCTTTAGTATAGTCATCGGGAGAGATGTCCCACAAGGGAGGATATTCTTCCACGACAGAAAAGGGGAAAAAAGTTGCTTCATCGTTCATTTTCGCCCTCACGGTGCACGCAAGTCCGGAGCGTAATTTAGAACAGCAGCAGCAGCCACCGGGTTCCATGCAAACACCCAGTACATTCTACCTCCGTGTTCTTTCGTGCTTGCGGCATTTTCTTCTGTTCGTCACGTCAGGTGATGAACACGGTGACCCGTGACGTGAAAAACCAGTGACGTCATAGGGACGGGATGGGGCGTTTGACGGTTACGGGAACGAGACCTATTATGCCTTGAAGAAGACGTGGCTGCCGTATAACTTTGCGGCAACGGAAGTTATTCTTCAGTATATATATATATATATATATATATATATATATATATATATATATATATATATATATATATATATATATATATATATATATATATATATATATATATATAGTGGGAGTAATAATTCAATGGGCCAGTTAGTCTTCGTGAAGGTATGGGATATGGCACAACGGGAGCGTTGTCAACAAGGATAAATATATTTATTTCCCAACAGTTTCGGGAGGGGACCTCCCTTCATCAGGGGATGAGTTATATATATATATATATATATATATATATATATATATATATATATATATATATATATATATATATATATATATATATATATATATATATATATATATATATATATATTATCCCACTTCTCAGGCAGAACGATTATAAAAAGAGGAATGGGGTTACGTGAAGCAAACAAACCAAACCTAGTGCATATCGTTCCCAGTATTCTAAAGAAGCCGGTACAAATATTTTTTTTTAAAACGACTAACTCATTAGTCTAATTATCCTTGTAACTAAACGTACTCGAGTACTTTTATTTTATTCATTTATTTACAGTATACTGCAGTCACAAAGGAACATGCAGATGAGAAATTGCATATCTAGAATTATCACGAAAACAAAGAAATTTAAGAAACAGCGCAACCTAGCGATACAACAAAATAATACAGTTCACAGGAGGGTGACGCATATATAGGATTATAAACACACACACACACACACACACACACACACACACACACACACACACACACACACACACACACACACACACACACACACACACACACATGCCCACCATCCCGCTTTAAATACTACCATAATAGAGTGCAAAACACCTAATGTCTGGCAATTGTAGAGAAAACAACAACAACAAAAGCTTTCCCCGAAACGATTCGGGTGTGTAAATACAGCATTTGCAATTTATAAAATAACCCTGAAAAGAAACAGTAAAAAAGACGAAATACAAAATAAAAAGTGAAGAGAAAAAAATGAAAGGTCACTTGAACACTCAGTAGTTTCCTGCATTTCTAGATGGGTAAGTAGCACACTTTCCAATGTACTTGCAGATTCTGAAGAAATAATATTTTTAGGCAGCGAATTCCAACCTGAAATGGTTCGTGAAAAAAAAGAGCACTTCAAAAGATTAGGGCGTGTTTGATAAGGAAGTAGATCATGTGCATGTAGATTTCTCGTCGTGCACAAAATAATTATCTAAATAACAATGAGGCAGATGCATGTGCACATGTTGAAATGATACCAGTCTGTGCTACTTCGAATAACGTAATAATAGCATGCTATTTTTTTCTGTGAGTAAAGAAAGCCCGCGAAATAAAAAAAACAACAACACGTGACTGCACTCACACCTGCAAAAAAAAAAAAAGCAGCAGCCTAAAATAATCTTAGTGGAAGCGACAGCTTTGCCTCTTTTCCGTTGCCAGAGACAGTGTTTTGCACATTGGCAAGAGTACATGTCGGGGATGCCAACAACATGAATCGAAGTTCTGCAGGGATTTATTCTGCTTGATCACGATTCATATCTAACGGTCAACTGTTATAGGCCAGAACACTGTTCTGATTATCTAGAGCAATTCAATCTTGAATGTCTAAGATCAAGGCGGCGCCTTTCTTCAGGCAGGAAGTAGCAGATAGTGTAATTAGTTTTTATTTATTTATTTATTTATTTGATATAGTTATTTGTTTTTTTATTCATTCGTTCGTTCATTTACTTATACAATACGGCAGACCTTTATAGGT